AGGCTTCGTATATTAAGAAAAAATGGACAACATATATGCAATTCTCGATTGTGATGAATATTTTATTCATCGTGAGCTGAAGGGCGGAATTTAGTTGCAAGATCCTCATGTCTCTACAAGAAATTGCAGATGAAATTCATCAGAAATGAGATTGGGGCGGGTGGGTGGGGCTTAACCTTTGTTTTGATTTTTAATACATATATAGAGTTTTTTTTAACAACAGGATAATTACACATGTATTCAATTTCTTGTTGGGAAAAGAAGGCTTCGTATATTAAGAAAAAAATTGACAAAATATAAGCCCCGCCCACCCACCCCTTCTCAATTGTGATGAGTATTTTATTCATCGTGAGCTGAAGGGCGGAATTTAGTTGCAAGATCCTCATGTCTCTACAAGAAATTGCAGATGAAATTCATCACAATTGAGATTGGGGCGGGTGGGTGGGGCTTACTTTTGTCCATTTTTTCTTAATATACGATGTCTTCTTTTTATGATTTTAGAATGATTCCATTTTTCAAATATTGGATTTTCGAACCTTTTCTTTTATTTGACTTTTGAGTTTTTCCATTCTTCAATTTTTCATTTCTTCAAATTTTCGATTCGCATTTTTTTTTTCAATTTCTCAATTTTTAATTTTTCAGTTTTCGATTTGGTTTTTATTTTCTTTGTTTTCAATTATTGGGTTTTTCAATGTTTCGATTTTACAATTTTTTGTTTTTCCAATTTTAATTTTTTCACTGATTCATTTCTTCGGTTTTTCGATTTGCGATATTTCAATTTTTCTTTTTTGGTTTCTTCAATTTTTAGATTTTGCAATTTTTCAGTTTAAAATTTCTCCAGTTTTCAATTTTTAATTTTTCAGTTATTCGATTCTTTAACTTTTCATTGTTTCAAATTTTCGTTTTGAAATTTTCCGTTTCGGATTTTTATTTTCTTCATTTTTACAATTTTTCCATTTTTTAATGTTCTGATTTTAGAATTCTGTTTTTTCTTCAATTTTTGATTTGGAATTTTTCTAGTTTTCATTTTAAATATGTAATGATAAGTAATGATAATAATAATAATAATTTTTAAAATATGTCACTTCTTCTAAGTATGATTTTAGAATTATTCCATTTTTCAATTATTGGAATTTTTCATTAATTTGACTTTTGAATTTTTACGTTCTTCAATTTTTCACTTCTTCAAATTTTCGATTTGCATTTTTTTCAATTTCAATTTTTTCAATTTTTCGATCTCCCAACTATTGAATGTTTCAATTTTTAGATTTTGCAATTTTTCGATTTGCAGTTCCATAGGTTTTCAATTTTTAATTTTTCAGTTTTTCGATTTGGTTTTTTATTTTCTTTATTTTTTCAATTATTCGATTTTTCAATGTTTCGATTTTACAATTTTTTTTCACTGATTCGTTTCTTCTATTTTTCGATTGGTGGTATTTCAATTTTTCGTTTTTTGTTTCTTCAATTTTTAGATTTTGCAATTTTTCAATTTAAAATATCTCAAGTTTTCAATTTTTAATTTCTCATTTTGGACTCTTTAAGTTTACATTTCTTCAAATTTTCGTTTTGAAATTTTTCGTTTCGGTTTTTTATTTTCTTCATTTTTACAATTTTTTTATTTTTCAATGTTCTGATTTTAGAATTCTGCTTTTTTCAATGTGAAATTTTTCAATTGTTGGATTTTCAGTTTTTTTTTATTTCTCTTCTTTATTCTTTATTTTTTCAATTATTCGATTTTTCAATATTTCAATTTTAATTTTTGTTTTTTCAATTTTAATTTTTTCACTCATTCGCTTCTTCAATTTTTCGATTTGCGTTTTTTCGATTATCGATTTTTCGTTTCTTCAATTTTTAATTTGTAATTTTTCTAGTTTTCATTTTAAATATGTAATAATAATAATAATAATTTTTAAAAAATATTTCACTTTTTCGATTTACGATTTTAAATTATTGGATTTTCGAACCTTTGCTTTTATTTGACTTGAATTTTTCCATTCTTCAATTTTTCGTTTTTCCAACTATTGGATGTTTTAATTTTTAGATTTTGAAAATCTTTGGAATTCCCATTTCACGCGTTTTAAATTTTTAATTTTACGATTACTCGATTTTTCAATTTCCCGTTTTTTTAATTTTTTGATCTGCAATTTTTCGTTTGGGTTCTCCATTTTTCGTTTCCTCAGTTCTTCGGTTTTCAATTTTTCGGTCTTCCACTTCTTCGATTTTGCAATATTTCATGATTTTTATTTTTTTCCCAATTTTTAGTTCTTCGATTTTTCAGTTTATTTAACTTTTTGGAACAAAAAATGGAAAAATTGGAAAATCGAAAAATCTAAAATGAAAACACGAAAAAGTATAAAACGAAGACTTTAAAAATCTAAAAATTGGAAATCAAGAACTTGAAAAATTGACAAAACGAAAGATTTAAAATTGAGAAACTTAAAGTTCGAAATAATGAGAAATCGAAAAATGAAAATACGTATTATAAAATCAAAACACAGAAAATTAAAGAAATCGGAAAATTGGATATTAGGAAATCCAAAAATTGAAAAATTTAAAAATTTGAAAATCGAGGAAATGAAACATTAAATATTGAAAATTAAAAAATCAAAAAAATAAAAAATAAACATCAAAAACTTGAAAAGTTGTTGAACTACAATTTTTAGGTTTTCAAATTTTTCGATTTTTAAGTTTCCCGATTTTTAGTTTTTCATTGTTTCCATTTTTTGTTTCTTCAGTTCTTCGGTTTTCAATTTTTAGATTTTGTAATTTTTCGTGATTTTTCATTTTTTAGATTTTTCAACTTTTCGAATTAAAAAAATGGAAAAATTGGAAAATTGAAATATAGACTTTTTTTCAACAATAGGATAGTTAACATGTTTTCAGTTTCTTGTTGGAAAAAGAAGGCTTCGTATATTAAGAAAAAATGGACAAAATATATGCAACTCTCGATTGTGCTGAATATTTTATTCACCGTGAGCTGAAAGGCGGAGTTTAATTACAAAATCCTCATTCCTCTACATGAAATTACCATATGAAATTCATCACAATTAAGATTGGGGCGAGTAGGTGGGGCTTAATTTTTCTGATTTATTTTTTAATACATAGAACAGAGTTTTCTTTCAACAACAGGATAGTTAAACATGTTTTCAGTGTTTTGTTGGGAAAAGAAGGCTTCGTATATTAAGAAAAAAGAGACACAATATTAGCCCCGCCCACCCACCCCTTCTCAATTGTGATAATGTTTTATTCATCGTGAGCTGAAGGGCGGAATTTAGTTGCAAGATCCTCATGTCTCTACAAGAAATTGCAGATGAAATTCATCAGAAATGAGATTGGGGCGGGTGGGTGGGGCTTAATCTTTGTTTTGTTTTTTAATACATATATAGAGTTTTTTTTAACAACAGGATAATTACACATGTATTCAATTTCTTGTTGGGAAAAGAAGGCTTCGTATATTAAGAAAAAAATTGACAAAATATAAGCCCCGCCCACCCACCCCTTCTCAATTGTGATGAATGTCATCGTGAGCTGAAGGGCGGGATTTAGTTGCAAATTCCTCATTTCTCTACAAGAAAGTAAACATGAAATTCGTCACTGAAACTGAAAATAGTAAGAGTAATAATAATAGCCAAACAACATCAGTAGTGTACAATGCCACGGCTAAAACATTTCCAAATACGGAATATATAATCAGTTCTCTAGTCGTCAGTGACATCTGTGGAAGTGTAGTTAAAATAAAACCAGTGTCTGTAAATTTCTGTATAACAAAATGTGGCATTTAAGAAATCATTTTACGGTTTTATTTACGTTTACATGAAAGCAATAAACAATACATGGGTATTACAATATAGAAACACATCTCCAAATAAATGAAAGATAATCGTCATAGCTGACGATTTTTCTGGACAGATGGCGCTGGTTGTCACGAATAAATAAATTGACAACTGCACGACTTTATTCAAATGCAAATTTTTATTCTAAAGAATAAATGCTAATAGCCATCCCACACTATGGCATTAGCTCGTTCTGAAATGCAGATCCAGACGTATAAATAAACACAGGAAATGTAACAAATGTCCAAATAATAATAAATTTGTCGTTTATTAATCGGTTTTAATCTTTACTTTGGACGTCTAGATTTTTTGAAGAAATCAATTCAAAGTATCTTTGAATATTAACAACAGAAAGCGGAAAAATAGATCCACATCTAAAAATAAATCCTCTCAACAAATTTGTTTTTATAATTATTTGCTTGCCCTTGTATACTGCATGTTTAATTAGAGAATTCATTATCAGCCGTGTTGTATAGTGTATGTCATAATGAGGAATCTATAAATAAAAAACAAGTACATTTATTTAAATGTTTAGGGAGACAATGACAATTTTGACGAGAAAATAACTGATAACTTTATAAGTTGACCATCCAGCGCCACCTATTGACCACCCATTCAAAGGTATAAGTATCTAAATTTTACCACAGAGGGCGCGCCTTGTTCCAACCGTCAAAATTACAGCGCCTACTCTTTCTTTAAATGCAAATCAGCAGAACAGCGACATTCTTACAATTATTGCATCATCTAATGCACATTTACTATTCATCTACCACGAGAAAATTTGCAACGTATGCCTTTTACCCATAGCAAATGGCTAGTCATGCTTAAGTGTCACCATAACCCGTTTTGAAATGTAAATATTAAACGTCAGACAAAAGTCTTTATTGTTATAAATGCAAAGTGGCATTCAGCGTTTTCAATGCTTTAATGTACGCAGTAAATCTAAATAACTGAATAATGTCGGCTGCTTACGTCGTAATTACATTATCGTTGACCCATTTTGGGTCAGTGACTTCACGAACATGTAGGAAATGACGACTACAACACTAAAACTGTACTTTAATTCAGAAAGGACTAGAGGAAACAGTTTGCACGTTCGAGCCACTGACTGAAGTAGTAATCACCTGACTTAATTTTCACACTTTGGGAAAACGAAAACAAAAAAACTTCCTCGTAAACATTTTTATTATAGACTTCATTCAATACGTTTATACAATAAAGATAAAAACTGTCTAAATGTAAAATCGTCTCAAATCCTTAACCTAACCTTAAACAGCAAATTGTATACACATACAAATCTTTCGCTTGATATGTAGATTTTAACAAGTCTGTTTGAGTGTGGATCACAGAAAAAACCTTCGAGATTTGTCGAAACCGAAAGTGCCTGGTCCTGACGATTGTCATGAGTATTAAAAAAGTCCTGCGTCAAATTGAACCCCTTCAACAACGCCAAATACAGGAATGCAAACTTAAAAAAAAAATCAGTGCTGTCGATTCGAGTGCGAATCTATCCTCTTCGTCAGCTCGCAAATCACCTCCCTGTAGATCATCGGATCCATATTGCGCCCCAGCACCATCAACACCCACCAATCCCCCAGCTCGATTTTCCGGCACAGCGACTTGCACACCTCGATGGGGATGGCGCGATGTCTGGCGTTGAGCAAACGGGGTCTGAGTCTCGGCATCGCCACGATGAAGATCCTGTACAGGACCATGACGGTGAGCATGCTAGCCAGGATCATGAACCAGAACCAGATGAAGATGTAGGTTTTTTCGTTGACGATGTTGAGCGGGAGGACGCACAAGCTGTCGTGCTTCTGGATGGACCCGGAGGCACCGTATTTGTGGAAGATGCACTTGGTGACCCGAGGGAACACGTACACCATGGGGTCCATGCGGTCCTCTTGGGCTTGCTCGGAGAAGTTCATCACGCGCCAACCGTAGGAGAGGAACTCGCCGTCGAAGAAGCGGTTCATTAGGTAGAGCTGGACGAGGACGTTGACCAGGCAGAGGCACTCGCAGGCGAAGTACCGGAGGGCGTAGAGGTTATGACGCTGGAAAAAAAGAAACGTGACTGTTTTTATGGGGAAGTCGGAGAGTGGTCCGGAGAGCCGGATTTCGAGCGAAAGAAGTTATTCTCGTGTAGAAATTTAAGCAATCAGTGAAATAGTCTGCGGTTGCTCATCATCATCAAGGAACGCCGACTTTTTTTATTTTCGGTAACAATTTGGTAAGGTTCACGTTCTGTAAATAAGCGGATGTGAGTGTTGTATTGTGAGACGGATAAAAAGTGGCGTTTTCGAAGTATTTAATTGTTAACGCACCACTGAGTCTTAACGTGATCGGAAAGAAACAGAGAAACTACTCGAGTCGATAAAAGGATTTTTTGTGCGATAATTTCACTTTAGTGTTTTGTAACAAATACACGGTTAGCAATAGCACGCTAACGACTTTGGTGTTTTTTGTGATTTCTAAATACGTCTATCTGAGTGTGTCGTAAAAAATATGAATTACTAAAATTTGATCATTTTGCGGTTAAAAAGTTTATGCACAAAAAATCTGTGATGCAATTATGTTGAACATGGAATGAGTTTTGGACTGTAATGACATTTTGCTACCTAGTTTGTGAGGGGCGTTAATTTCAAAATTGACAACTGTGAATTGACATGTTGCCAATAATTCAGAACTGCCAACATGCTCAAACATGGACAGTTAGCTACCCGGTACATATTACAATGGTCAATCAATAATTACGATTCACCCATAACAGGCATCGAGAAACAATTCGATGTAGTAGGACGCAATTATGATTAGGGTCGATATACCTACTACAGCAATGAAAAAGACGAATCTACGCCTTTTTTTCTTAATATACACAGCCATCTTTGTACAACAAGAAACTTAAAACATTAAAATGGTACATTTTTGCAAGGAAATATGGATTTTGCAAATAGGCTCCCCCCCCCTTAATTGCAAAATCCATATTTCCTTATACAAATTTTCAATTTTAAACATGTTTTAAGTTTCTTGTTGTGAAAGGAAGTCTACACATACTAAAACAAAAAGCCAAAATGAAAGCCCGCCCACCCGCCCTGTCTCAATTGTGACGATTTTTTTATTCGCCGTGAACCAAGAGGGCGGAGCTTAACTGCAAAATACTTATTTCCTTGCAAAAAATTAAACACATATTTTTGAGTATCGTGTTGTTCAAAGAATACTACGTATATTAAGAATAAATGGGAAAATATAAACCCCGCCCACCCACCCCGTCTCAATTGTGATGCTTTTTTTATTCTTAGAAAAGTAAAACATGTTTAAAATGGGAAATTTTTGTAGGAAAGTATCGATTTTGCAATTAGGATCCGTCCCTCAGCTCACGATGAATAAAAAAAATCATCACAATTGAGACCGGGCGGGTGGGCAGGGCTTATATTATGCCTTTGGTTTTCTTAATATACATTGCCATCTTTTCCCAACAAGAAACTTAAAACATGGTGAAAATGGTACATTTTTGCAAGGAATTATAGATTTTGCATTTACGAGGTGGAGTCTAATTGCAAAACCGATATTTCTTTATACAAAATTTACAGTTTAAACATGTTTTAAGTTCCGTGTTGTGAAAGGAAGTCTACACATACTAAAACAAAAAGCCAAAATGTAAGCCCGCCCACCCGCCCCGTCTCAATTGTCATGATTTTTTTATTCGCTGTGAACCAAAAGGGCGGAGCTTAACTGCAAAATACTTATTTCTTTACAAGAAATTAAACACGTTTTTGAGTATCGTGTTGTTCAAAGAATACTATGTACATTAAGAAAACAAGACAAAATATAAACCCCACCCACCCACCCCGTCTCAATTGTGACGGTTTTTTTTATAAGAAACATGTTTAAAATTGGAAATTTTTGTAGGAAAGTATCGATTTTGCAATTAGGCTCCACCCCTCGGCGTACGATGAATAAAAAAATCATCAGAAATGAGATAGGGCGGGTGGGCGGGGCATATATTTTGTCTTCTTTTTCTTAATATACATAGCCATCTTTTCACAAGAAACTTAAAACATGGTTGAAATTGTACACTTTTGCAAGGAAATATGGATTTTGCAATTATGGGGCGGAGCTTAATTGCAAAATTCGTATTTCCTTACACAAATTTTCAGTTTTAAATATGTTTTAAGTTTCACGTTGTGAAAGGAAGTCTACACATACTAAAACAAAAAGCCAAAATGTATTTGCCCGACCACCCGCCCCGTCTCAATTGTCATGATTTTTTTTATTCGCTGTGAACCAAGAGGGCGGAGCTTAACTGTAAAATACTTATTTCTTTACAAGAAATTAAATACGTTTTTGAGTATCGTGTTGTTCAAAGAATACTATGTATATTAAGAAAACAAGACAAAATATAAACCCCACCCACCCACCCCGTCTCAATTGTGACGATTTTTTTATAAGAAACATGTTTAAAATGGGAAATTTTTTTAGGAAAGTATCGATTTTGCAATTAGGCTCCACCCCTCGGCGTACGATGAATAAAAAAATCATCAGAAATGAGATAGGGCGGGTGGGCGGGGCATATATTTTGCCTTCTTTTTCTTAATATACATAGCCAACTTTTCACAAGAAACTTAAAACATGGTTGAAATTGTACACTTTTGCAAGAAAATATGAATTTTGCAATTATGGAGCGGAACCTAATTGCAAAATCGATAATTCCTAATACAAATTTTCAATTTTAAACATGTTTTAAGTTTCTTGTTGTGAAAGGAAGTCTACACATACTAAAACAAAAAGCCAAAATGTAAGCACACCCACCCGCCCTATCTCAATTGTGACGATTTTTTTTATTCGCCGTGAACCAAGAGGGCGGAGCTTAACTGCAAAATACTTGTTTCTTTACAAGTAATTAAAAACATGTTTTTGTGTATCGTATGTTCAAAGGATACTATGTATATTAAGAAAAAAAGAAAAAATATAAACCCCGCCCACCCACCCCACCTCAATTGTGATGATTTTTTTTATTCTTAGAAAGGTAAAACATGTTTAAAATGGGAAATTTTTGTAGGAAAGTACCGATTTTGCAGTTAGGCTCTGCCCCTCGGCTCACGATGAATAAAAAAAAATCATCAGAATTGAGATAGGGCGGGTGGGCGGGGCATACATTTTGCCTTCTTTTTCTTAATATACACAGCCATTTTTTCACAAGAAACTTAAAACATGGTTAAAATGGTACATTTTTATGGATTTTGCAACTATGGGGCGGAGCCTAATTGACAAGTCGATATTTCCTTCTATAAATTTTCCATTTTAACCATGTTTTAAGTTTCGTGTTGTGAAAGGAAGTCTACACATATTAAAACAAAAAGGCAAAATGTAAGCCCCCCACCCGCCCTATCTCAATTGTGGTGTTTTTTTTTTATTCGCTGTGAACCAAGGGGGCGGAGCTTAACTGCTAAACACTTCTTTCTTTACATGATATTAAAAACATGTTTTTGAGTATCGTGTTGTTCAAAGAATGCTCTGAATACCATGTATATTAAGAAAAAAAGACAAAATATTAATCTTTGGCTTTAATTTTTCCTTAATATACATACATAGTAATTTTTGAATAATATGATACAACATGTCTTACGTGGTGATTTTTTGTAGAGAAATAATACGGATTCTGCAATTAAATTCCGCTTCTTTCGCTCTCGACGATTAAAAAAAAAATCATTACAATTGAGATAGGGTAGGTGGGCGGGGCTTATATTTTTCCTTTTTTCTCAAGATACGTCATAGTATTCTTTAAACAACACAATACTAAAGAACATGTTTTTAATTTCTCGTAGAGAAATAAGTATTTTGCAGTTAAGCTCCGCCCCCTTGGCTCACGACAAATAAAAAAAAATCATCAGAATTGAGACAGGGTGGGTGGGCGGGCTTATATTTTGCCTTCTATTCCTTAAAATACATAGCCATCTTTTCACATCAAGAAACTTAAAATATGGTTAAAATGGTACATTTTTGCAAGGAACTATAGATTTTGCAATTACGGGGCGGACTCTAATTGCAAAATCGATATTTCTTTACACAAAATTTACAGTTTAAACATGTTTTAAGTTCCGTGTTATGAAAGGAAGTCTACACATACTAAAACAAAACGCCAAAATGTAAGCCCGCCCACCCGCCCCGTCTCAATTGTCATGATTTTTTTATTCGCTGTGAACCAAGAGGGCGGAGCTTAACTGCAAAATACTTATTTCCTCACAAGAAATTAAACACCTTTTTGAGTATCGTGTTGTTCAAAGAATACTATGTATATTAAGAAAACAAGACAAAATATAAACCCCACCCACCCACCCCGTCTCAATTGTAACGATTTTTTCATAAGAAACATGTTTAAAATGAGAAATTTTTGTAGGAAAGTATCGATTTTGCAATTAGGCTCCACCCCTCGGCGTACGATGAATAAAAAAATCATCAGAAATGAGATAGGGCGGGTGGGCGGGGCATATATTTTGCCTTCTTTTGCTTAATATACATAGCCATCTTTTCACAAGAAACTTAAAACATGGTTGAAATTGTACACTTTTGCAAGAAAATATGAATTTTGCAATTATGGAGCGGAACCTAGTTGCAAAATCGATAATTCCTAATACAAATTTTCAATTTTAAACATGTTTTAAGTTTCTTGTTGTGAAAAGAAGTCTACACATACTAAAACAAAAAGCCAAAATGTAAGCCCACCCACCCGCCCTATCTCAATTGTGACGATTTTTTTTATTCGCCGTGAACCAAGAGGGAGCTTAACTGCAAAATACTTGTTTCTTTACAAGTAATTAAAAACATGTTTTTGAGTATCGTATGTTCAAAGGATACTATGTATATCAAGAAAAAAAGAAAAAATATAAACCCCGCCCACCCACCCCACCTCAATTGTGATGATTTTTTTTATTCTTAGAAAGGTAAAACATGTTTAAAATGGTAAATTTTTGTAGGAAAGTACCGATTTTGCAGTTAGGCTCTGCCCCTCGGCTCACGATGAATAAAAAAAAATCATCAGAATTGAGATAGGGCGGGTGGGCGGGGCATACATTTTGCCTTCTTTTTCTTAATATACACAGCCATTTTTTCACAAGAAACTTAAAACATGGTTAAAATGGTACATTTTTACAAGAAAATATGGATTTTGCAACTATGGGGCGGAGCCTAATTGACAAGTCGATATTTCCTTCTATAAATTTTTCATTTTAACCATATTTTAAGTTTCGTGTTGTGAAAGGAAGTCTACACATATTAAAACAAAAAGGCAAAATGTAAGCCCCCCCACCCGCCCTATCTCAATTGTGGTGTTTTTTTTTATTCGCTGTGAACCAAGGGGGCGGAGCTTAACTGCAAAACACTTATTTCTTTACATGATATTAAAAACATGTTTTTGAGTATCGTGTTGTTCAAAGAATGCTCTGAATACCATGTATATTAAGAAAAAAAGACAAAATATTAACCTCGCCCACCCACCCCGTCTCAATTGTGATGAAAAATATGTATTTTGCAATTAGGCTCCGCCCCAAAGTCTGCCCACGAATGAAACCTTCATTACTATTGAAATCAGGGCAGCTTTGAGTGGGGCTTAATCTTTGGCTTTCATTTTTTCTTAATATACATACATAGTAATTTTTGAATAATATGATACTCAAAAATATGTCTTACGTGCTGATTTTTTGTAGAGAAATAATACGGATTCTGCAATTAAATTCCGCTCCTTTCGCTCTCGACGATTAAAAAGAAAAATCATTACAATTGAGATAGGGTGGGTGGGCGGGGCTTATATTTTTCCTTTTTTCTGAAGATACGTCATAGTATTCTTTAAACAACACAATACTAAAGAATACGTTTTTATTTTTCGTATAGAAATAAGGATTTTGCAGTTAAGCTCCGCCCTCTTGGCTCACGACAAATAAAAAAAATCATCGGAATTGAGACAGGGTGGGTGGGCGGGCTTATATTTTGCCTTCTTTCAAATTTAACGGGACATAACTGCAGAACGGTTGCGTTTAATCGATTCGCCTTGTTTAGAATTTGCAGTGCAGTTAAAACTTAGTATTTAGCATTAGAAAAATCTCACAGAATGTTGTAAAGCCATAAAATATTATAAAATTGCGCTTTGATTTTCTCCTTATGGAAAAGCGAACGGCTGAAGCCGCTTTTGGCGAACAGTTGATTCCAAGAACACCGTCTGCCTTTAAACAACTAGCTTCAAAAATGGAAGTTTACCTTACAAGACAACACAAGAGTTCGATTAAAACCGCAATAGCGAGAAATACATCGCCGTATATGTGTTTTCTAACGACAAAAAAGTAGTCGAAGAAACTTGAGCAATTAAAAACAGTGCTACTAAGAAATCTCACTACGTGCCTACAACTTCTTCTCATCCACACTACGTGACCAAAGAACCTCTTTCGTAATAACGAGCACCACAAAGTTTAGTCACTTTTCGAATTTATTGCCGTCTGCGTTATCACCGTTTCGCAATTACCCACCTTTGTGATAACCAGTGTAACCCAGAAACAGCTTTCTGCTGATTATTCCTTGTTGGTTGTTAGTTCCCACAAATGCGACTCAAGCATAATTGTAATTTAGGCATCCACACGTGCACGTTTCTCGAATTGTTTAAATAGTTCAGACCACTTAAAACAATTACACGAAACTTTTGAAGTCGATTAATCATCGTATGGTTAAAGCTTCAGCAAGATGAGGTTTGAATGACATCTTAAGACAAGAACTTATGTAACCATAATCACACGAATCGAAAAATGCGCGCTTGGAAGATAATCGTTCTGCCTCGAGGTTTTTTTGTTGTTGAGTCAGCATTGGTACTAATTACAAGCGGTGACAATGAATACTCACAATAAAACTTGATATTCACACTAAATATATAAGTACACAATTTGCTAGTCATATTCATAAGTAATTGTAATTATATTCGTGATTCAAACAGTTAGAAACGTGATTCTGATTCTTCGTGCGTACATTTGTTTGGTTTTGGTTTAGGTTTATGAAGTAACGAGTTTATGCTAATTAAAACGGTGCAATAATTATAAATGAGAAGCTACCTTGCAACCAATTTGTATATACAAGATGTGGAACGAAAACGTTATGTTAAACAGATTTTAGAGAAATATTTAAATTAGTGTGACAATTTACATATTTATGTGTACTTGTTCATTGAACTCCGAATTTTTAAAGATTTTGCATATTAATTGGCCGATATTAATTGCTTTTTTTAATAATATCATAGGAGTGATAACCAATTTTTAAATTCTTATCAGCAATTCTGTCATTACCATTAATTAATCATAATTACGACCTATAACTCATTTTATGAGTTCTTTGGATTACAAATCTAAGTAAACAACCGCAAGGTTATCTTTCATGAAACCCACAAACTAGAAAGAAGGGTCGAATTATAATTACTTCATGAATTCGAAGCAGTTTTTTTCAGTCTAGACTTAAGTAAGTATAAAAAATTATTACTCATTTAACAAAAAAAAAGAAGCTTAGATTACAGTACACTTGATACGTTTATTGCATGATACGAAGCCCACGTGTTGCAATTTCATTCCCAGAGTGAATTAATGGACCCTACATGTTATTCAAACGTAGGCAATTAAACCGAGAATTTAATTGCAGTAATCGACATAGAACAAACAATTAGAGCTTCAGGTACGCACAAACCGGCCACTGCAAGGCCAAAGTTTTGCATTTTTATAATAATTAAGTACATTACTCGACAAGATAGATAATTATTCACCAGACTATAAAGTATCACATATCGCCATACAGATGCTCACTGCTCTCCCAATTAACCCCAACTTACAGTGACATGCGTCAGAAGATAATCCAAGATGATCTCCTTCTTCTTATTCTTCTCCTCTTCGTGGCAAATCCCAAACTTCAGTCTCATGCTGAGCATCTTCATGAGTCCCCCTTCGAAGACGTCCCACATGACTTTGGGGACGTAGCACGCCAAAGCCTGTCCAAATAATTCACAAATAAATACAAATATTTTTAAAATGAAGTGTAAACCCACCTGGAAGAACAAAACGAAACAGACCCATTGGTAGTACGTGTAGTACTTCTTGGCATCCTCCGCACCGAAATCGTTAGCCACACCAGGATGAGCCACTTCTCGACCGACCTGAAAAAACGATCAGACGCTGTAATTATTGCAGGGAAACGAATTGTGGGCTGTCATTATGGGAGGTTAAATTACAGATGGCCTGAAGTCTTCGTCTGGGGGATACACGAAGCCGAGATCCGTTTGGGTCAAGCCGAAAACACACGTGTTCAAAAAAGCACGTCTTTTTTTTAATGTATAATATTCTCAGCTGCTGTTTTTTTCGAGAAGTCTGATGGTACCTTCGGGACCCCTGGTTTCTTATTTTAAAAATTTTAGAAACAATCTGAAAGAATCCCTCGCTTTTTAAAGAGTTTAAAAAATCTTCCGATACAAATTTTTCAAATTTTTGGTGTCCCTTGTGTCGTTTTTTAAAACGTGAAATAACATCTGGAGCCCCTTGTGTTTTATTTTTGAACGAATTTCAACAGATCCTTATGTTTCTCAAGGAGTTTGACGGTACCTTCGGGACCTTTGGATTTTTTTTTTAAGAACTGAGAAGAATGAATCTCCGGGGCTCCTTGTGTGTTATATTTTAAAGAATTTTGCCGTATAAATCCTATCCAAAATGTATAAAGTATGATGAGTCTGTATTTGTGATTTATATTTTACACATGTCGGGTAGATTTAGGAATTTTAACTCGTTGCTATGGTAATTTACAATTTAACACCTTTAAATTTTACAAGTTTTTACAAGACTAACAGGGGCAAAATCAGTTCCATCATAACAAATACTAGGCCCGCCCACCCGCCCCCTATTTTCTCAGAGGATGTCACTTGCCATAATCAGTCTCATCTTATCAAGTACTTGTCCCGCCCACCCACCCGCTATTTTCTCAGAGGATCTGGCATTTGCCAAAATCAGTCTCATCTTATCAAGTACTTGCCCCGCCCACCCGCCCGATTTTGTTCCAGAGGATATGTCACTTGCCATAATCAGTCTCATCTTATCAAGTACTTGTCCCGCCCACCCACCCGCTATTTTCTCAGAGGATCTGGCATTTGCCAAAATCAGTCTCATCTTATCAAGTACTTGCCCCGCCCACCCGCCCGATTTTGTTCCAGAGGATATGTCACTTGCCATAATCAGTCTCATCTTATCAAGTACTTGTCCCGCCCACCCACCCGCTATTTTCTCAGAGGATCTGGCATTTGCCAAAATCAGTCTCATCTTATCAAATACTTGCCCCGCCCACCCGCCCATTTTTTTCCAGAGGATATGTCACTTGCCAAAATCAGTCTCATCTTATCAAGTACTTGCCCCGCCCACCCGCCCGATTTTTTTCCAGAGGATATATCACTAGTGCTTCATAAGATAAGACTGATTTTGGCAAATACATATCCTCTGGAAAAAAACGGGCGGATGGACGAGGCTAGTACTTGATAAGATAAGACTGATTTTAGCAAATGGCATATCCTCTGGAAAAAAAAAGGCGGGTGGGCGGGGCTAGTACTTGATAGGATAACACTGGTTTTGGCAGATGACGTATCCTCTGAAAAAAAACGGGCGGGTGGGCGGGGCTAGTACTTTATAGGATAACACTGGTTTTGGCAGATGACATATCCTCTGAAAAAAAACGGGCGGGTGGGCGGGGCTAGTACTTGATAGGATAAGACTGGTTTTGGCAGATGACATATCCTCTGGGAAAAAACGGGCGGGTGGGCGGGGCTAGTTTTTGCTAAGATAAGATTGATTTTGGCAAATGACATATCCTCTGGGAAAATAGCGGGCGGGTGGGCGGGGCTAGTACTTGATAGGATAAGACCGATTTTGCCCCTATTATTCTTGTAAAAACTCTTATGAAATTTAAAGGTGTTAAATTGCAAATTTCCATAGTAATTTTTTTATTTTTCAAGTTTTTGATATTTAAATGTTTCGATTTTTCAGTTTTACACAATTTTGACGTTTCTAAATTTCAGATTTTTCGATTTCTCAATTTCTCCGTTAATCGATTTTTTGGGTTTTCAATTTTTCGAATTCTCGGTTTTTCCATTTTTCGATTCTGCAATTTTTCCATTTTTCGCCTTTTCGATGTTTCGATTTCTAGATTTTTCAGTTTTTTGATTCTCCAATTTTTCTATATTTTAGTTTTGGAATTTTTCGTTATTTCAATTTTTCAATTTTTGACATTTCTAAATTATCGATTTTTGTATTTCACGATTAATTGATTTTTTGGTTTTTCGAGTATTGGATTTCTCGATTTTTCAATTTTTTCTTATTTTTGCTTTGGGATTTCTTTAATTTTTCAATTTTTAATACATATTTCAAAATTTTCAATTTGTGGATTTCTAAATTTCACGATTAATCATTTTTTTGGTTTTCGACTTTTCGATTTGTCGACTCTTCGATTTCTCGATTTTTCAATTTTCAATATTTTGGTTTTGGAATTTCTTCAATTTTTCTAATTTACATTTTTTTCATTTTCGACGCTTTAAATTGTCTTTTTTTCGAGATTTTTGGATTTCTCGATTAACCGACTTTTTGGTTTTTCGATTTCTGGAATTTTCTATTTCTCAATTTTTTAATTTTTCTATTTCCCAATTATTCGATATTCCAGTTGTGCGATTTATCAATATTTCTTCAATTTTTCAGTTTATACATTTTCCGATTTTTTAATTTTTTAATTTTTAACGTTTCTAACATTCAATTTTTCGATTTCTCAATTTCTCGATTTTTCACTGTTGGATTTTTCAATTTTTCGATTCTGCAATTCCTCGATTCTTCAAATTTTCAATTTCTCCATTTTTTCACTTTTGGAATTCTCAACTTTCCGATGTTTTAGTTTTACGATTTTTCAATATTTCACGATTAAGCAATTTTTAGGTTTTTCGACTTTTCGTTTTCTAAATTTTTTAATTTTTCGATACTTTAGTTTTGCAAATTCTTAAATTTTTCGATTTTTAAATACATATTTTGGTTCTCCACTTGTTCGACTTATCGATTTTTTACGTTCTTGATGATTCAGTTTTTCGATTTTTTCATGTTTCAATTTTTTTAATTTTGAGATATTTTAATTTAAAATAATTTTAAAGTTTTTTTTAAATTAGTAAAGATTCGGGGGCTCCAGGTGTTTTCTTTTTGAAAAAACCTTGAGAGATCCTTCCGTGTTTTTGGAATACATGGTCCGGAAGAATCTTGAGGACTCTGTGTCTCATTTTTTTGGAACAATTTGTAGATAAATATTTTAGGTGCCCCTAATTTTTTAAAGAATATAAAAGAACCTCTGGGGCCACTTGTGTTTTATTTTTGACAGAATTTAAAAAGAACTTTTGGACTTCTGGAATTTTCAACGAATTTGACAATTTCTTATACTCCTAGTGTCTTTTTTTAAGAATTGGAAAAAATCTTGAGGGCTCCTAGTGTCTTATTTTAGGTAAAAAAAATCACTGAACATTATATATAATTTCATCACTTATGAGTTAATTGATTATCAAATGAGTGGACCTCGAAAAATAACAGTAGTTTTATTTTTATTAGCATCCGTAATACTTGTTCCAGGGCCGGCTTAAAATCATCCGTTATTATTAGCATTCAATGATCCATCTTTCAGTGTTCTCAGTACATAACAAATCTTTCTGATCCTTTGAATTAAAGACTTATTCTGGAGAAAAAACATGACTAATCTAGTTTGGATCATGGTGACACTTCGACAAATGAATCACCCCATCATTCTACGAATCCACCTCTCCCCTACTCGTTTCAACTTGCAACTACCTGCATTACCTCAACGTGAAGATCAATTATAAATTTAAATTTTACCGGTGTTACCCGTTTCCGCTTACGTCACCAACACACTTTACATTTTCATTGAATCGCCAGTTTTTCTGTGAAAGTGCATCTATTGTAGAAAAATCTGCCGAGGCCACTCGATGACCCGCTTCTTCCTGCCATTGACATTTTTGTTCCACTTGGATGTGCCTTTCACCGGTGGTTTGACTCTTCTGACCATAATTCTCGGATTTGTTAACTCGTTTCAAAGTCATGCGAGATTAACAAAGTTGTTGTGATAAGAAGTCGTAAATAATTCAGCCTTGAGAGTAAAGAGAATGAAATTGCATATGATAGGAGGTTCCTAATGGTTGGTAATTTGCAGAAATTTTGTGATTTATGATGGTCTGCGTCCGGTTATTTGATACTGTGTGGTGTGTCGCATCTGGAGCGGATATTTTTTGTGCAATGCATATTTGTAACAAGTGTGCGCTGATTTTTATCAGCGTTGACACTGGTGTCAAGGAAAGTAGTGATAAAGGTTAAGGGTCATTCTGTCACGTGACTAAAAATTATTTATGAAAAATGCCCCCTTACGGATAAATTTTCACATCTACTTAAATTAACACCAACACCGACAGCATCCATTAGCACTGCAGAGGTCTAAGAAAACAGAACTGTTAACACGATCTGTTAAATTAAAATGGTTAAAAACGCACTTATATGGAAAGAGCAAAAGTGGTTTATGCCGCTTCGTGGAAATCACTAACGTATGTGCAATCCCATTTTATTTATTCGAAAACGTCATTATTTGTATTTATTTCTGTGTGGTTAACCACATGTTTAGTTAACCAACATTCGAATCGAGTTATGTCAGAATTGCACGTACCGCTTTGATCGTTTCATCATTCACAGCATTACCACATTTAATGATGATTTAAGAGTTCCTATCATCAGTTGCAATACAGGATGTTCTGCAAAAAAAAGTACGCGAAATGGGTTGGTTTTTTCAAACTTGCATTCCATTCAGTTGAAACCTGACGTCACGTTCTGCGTCATCATATGTGAGTGACACCATGTCAATTAATTGCTACTCGTTTTTAAAATGATGAAAGTAAACTGATCCTAGAAACCCCTTTCTTCTGTCCCCGTTTCATCCTCCGCACATCCTCAATCAATAAATCAGCTAAACCCGCCTGGTTGCAGCTGCACATGTGCATCCCACTCGCCTCTTGCGTCATCTACCATGCACGACCCATCACCCTGTTTCCTGGGTCAAAGTTCGCAATTACCTGTCTCCTGAAGGCGTCCGGCATGGTAAAAGTGGACGAAATCCAGCAGTACGTATTGACCACATGTCCCGGAAGCCCATCCACGATACATTGTATAGGATGTCCCACATACTGCGACGCCGTGATGATCAAACTGCAGGCCATCAAGAGTGCCGTGGTGAAGAGGTTGTGCATGCGGAAGACCGCACTGTCCACTACCACCTCCTGGTGCTTGAGGTAGTCACTCAACCCTCCCAGAAGCTTGAACATGGTGATTGTTTTGCCACTTCGTCACAGTCCGAACTATTTTTCACACTTCACTTTCCACCCCAACTCGGGACATGTCCGGACTCAGCACATTGTTTACGATTGTGCGTGTTTTGTTTGTAGTAAGGAACCGACACACTCTGTAGCGTAACTTGCTACTGAGTGCTGCCCCCTCGATTTGTGCTTCCCCCACCACTGGGGCCGCCAAACGAAGTTCGTGCGGTTTGGTGGGTCCAATGGCGAGCTGGTCGGCTGGAGTTTCTAATATCTAAGTCCCTTCCCTACGGGTACGTCACGTGGAAGGACCCGGCGTCAGGAATTTCAACTATTTTTTACGAGGATGGGTGATTTGTACGGTAGGTCAGGCTGAGATCGGGTCGATATCGATGGGCGGGAACCGAGTGATGGGTTGCCGGTGGGATGGGAGCATTGCGCGTAATAGTGATAATGATCGCGGTTACTGGTTGGTAAAAAAAAAGTGTTGGTAAATTAACAGTTCATGTTAACATTAACATTCTCACTCTAGATTGATAACAATTCATTCATGGCATCTAAACTGGTCTGAATGGTAAAAAACCCTTACATTAAAATGTAGTTTAACTCAAAACCTTAATCCAGAACCAAGTGGATTCTTTTGATTTTCTAAAATTTGTCGAAAATTTTCACAAGTTTTTAAATGATTTGAAGATAATCCTACTATTGTTGTTTTTCTAAAACATAAACGACAATTTTTAGATTTTAGTTTTTTCTTAATGTAACTCAATGCATTTTAAATGAGAGTTTCAAAGGAATGCAAAATTTTCCAATTTCAAAAAATCGAGAACTCGAAAAATGAAAAAATCGGAAAGTTAAAAAATTGAAAAATGGAAAAACTGAAGAATTGAATTGAAAATTTGAGAAATCGAAAAGTAAAGAGATGAAAAGTCTAAAAACTGAAGATGGTAAAAATTGAAAAATTGAAAATTCGAATCAGAATTCGAAAAGTAAAATAATTGGAATATCGAAAAACTGAAGAATGGAAAAATTGAAACTCGAAAAGTAAAAAAATTGAAAAATATAAAAACTGAAGAATTAAAAAATCTAAATTCAAAAAATCGAAGAATTGAAAAAAGAAATATCGAAAGTCGAAAAATCGAAATTTCGAAAATTGAAATTTTGAAAAATCGAAAACTCGAAAAACCGAGAAATTGGGAAATCGAAACATCAAAATATAAAAAAATTGAAAGATCGAGAAATCGACAAATTGAAAAATCTTAAATCAAAATATCGAAAAATTGAGAAATCCAGAAATAAATAATTTCCCAAAATTGTGTTGAAAACTGAAAAATCGAAAACATTTTTTAAGTGATAAAAAGAAGTGAAAAAATGGAAAAACGGGAAAATCAAAACTGGAGAAATCAAAATATCGAAAAGTAAGACAATTGAGGGACCATAAACTGAGGAATCGAAAACTGAAAATTTAAAAGTAAAAAAGTTAAAAATTCGAATATCCAAAATTGAGAAGTCTAAACTAGTCTAGAACCAAGTGGATTTTTTTGATTATCTAAAATTTGTCGAAAATTTTCAGAAGTTTTTAAACGATTTGAAGATAATCCTACGATTGTTGTTTTTCTAAAACATAAACGACAATTTTTAGATTTTAGTTTTTTCTTAATGTAACTCAATACATTTTAAATGAAAGTTTCAAAGGAATGCAAAATTTTTCAATTTCAAAAAATCGAGAACTCGAAAAATGAAAAAATCGGAAAATTAAAAAAATGGAAAATGGAAAAACTGAAGAATTGGTTTGAAAATTTGAGAAATCGAAAAGTAAAAAAATTAAAAACTGAAGATGGTAAAAATTGAAAAATTGCAGATTCGAATCAGAAATTGAAAAATCGAAAAGTAAAATGACTGAGAAATCGAAAAAATCGAAGAATTGCAAAAAGGAGAAGTCGAAGAACCGAGAAATTGGTAAATAGAAAGATGGAAATATTGAAAAATGGGAACATCGAGAAATCGTTAAACTGAAAAATCTAAAATTAAAATTGAAAAATCCAGAAATAAAAAATTTCCCAAAATTGTGATGAAAACTGAGATCTCGAAGAATTTTTGAAAGTGATAAAAAGAAGTGGAGAAATTCAAAAACGGAAAAATGAAAAATAGAGAAATCAAAATATCGAAAAGTAAGACAATTGAGAGTTCAAAAAACTGAAGAATGGAAAAATTTAAAAAAATTAAAAATTCGAATATCCAAAAATTGAAAAGTCTAAACTAATCTAGAACCAAGTGGATTTTTTTGATTTTCTAAAATTTCTGGGAAATTTTCAGAAATTTTTAAACGATTTGACATGATTTTCAAGACTACAAAATTTTCTAAAATATAAACGACGGTTTTTAGATTTTAGCTTTTTTTTAATGTGAGACACTAAATTTCAAATAAAGTTTCAAAGAAATGCAAAATTTTACAAAAATTTCAAAAAACCGACAACTCGAAAAATGAAAACAATCTAAAAGGATAAAAATTAATAAATGGAAAAACTGAATAACTGAATTGAAAATTCGAGAAATCGAAAAGTAAAAATTAAAATGATTTTCAAGGACTACAAAATTTTCTAAAATATAAACGACGGTTTTTAGATTTTAGCTTTTTTTTAATGTGAGTCGCTAAATTTGAAATAAAGTTTCAAAGAAATGCAAAATTTTACAGAAATTTCAAAAAACCGACAACTCGAAAAATGAAAACAATCTAAAAGGATAAAAATTAATAAACAGAAAAACTGAATAACTGAATTGAAAATTCGAGAAATCGAAAAGTAAAAATTAAATGTCTAAAAAACGAAGACGGTAAAAATTGAAAAATTGAAATTAGAATCAGAAATTGAAAAATCGAAAAGTAAAATAACTGAGAAATCGAAAAAATCGAAGAATTGAAAAAAGGAAAAGTCGAAAAACCGAGAAATTGGGAAATAGAAACATGGAAATATTGAAAACTGGGAACATCGAGAAATCGTCAAACTGAAAAATCTAAAATTAAACTATCGAAAAATTGAAAAATCCAGAAATAAAAAATTTCCCAAAATTGTGATGAAAACTGAGATCTCGAAGAATTTTTGAAAGTGATAAAAAGAAGTGGAGAAATTGAAAAACGGAAAAATGAAAAATAGAGAAATCAAAATATCGAAAAGACAATTGAAAGTTCAAAAAACTGAAGAATGGAAAAATTGAAAATTCAAAATTAAAAAAAATTAAAAATTCGAATAACCAAAAATTGAAAAGTCTAAACTAATCTAGAACCAAGTGGATTTTTTTAATTTTCTAAAATTTCTAGGAAATTTTCAGAAATTTTTAAACGATTTGACATGATTTTCAAGGACTACAAAATTTTCCAAAATATAAACGACAGTTTTTAGATTTTAGCTTTTTTTTAATGTGAGAAAGTTTCAAAGAAATGCAAAATTTTACAAAAATTTCAAAAAACCGACAACTCGAAAAATGAAAACAATCTAAAAGGATAAAAATTAATAAACGGAAAAACTGAATAACTGAATTGAAAATTCGAGAAATCGAAAAGTAAAAATTAAATGTCTAAAAAATGAAGACGGTAAAAATTGAAAAATTGAAATTAGAATCAGAAATCGAAAAATCCAAAAGTAAAATAATTGAAAAATCGAAAAACTGAACAATGGAGAAATTGAAAATCAAAAGGAAAAAAATTGAAATCTAAACTGAAAAAACGAAATGTCGAAATTCGAAAAATGGAAATTAAAAAAATTCGAACGTCGAAAAATTAGATATTCGAAAAATGGAAAAACCGAAAGGTCGAAAAACTGTGAAATTGGGAAATTGAAACATCGAAATATTGAAAAAATGAAACCTCGGGAAATCGACATAGAAAAACCGAAAAATCAAAACATCGAAAAGTAAGACAATTAATAGATCAAAAAACTGAAGAATGGAAAAATTGAAAATTCAAAAGTAAAAAAATTAAAAATTCAAATATCCAAAATTGAGAAGTCTGAATGAATCTAGAACCAAGTGGATTTTTTTGATTTTCTAACTTTTGTCGAAAATTGTCAAAAGTTTTTAAACGATTTAGCATGATTTTCAAGGACTACAAAATTTTCTAAAATATAAACGACAGTTTTTAGATTTTAGCTTTTTTTTAATGTGAGAAAGTTTCAAAGAAATGACAAAAATTTCAAAAAACCGAGAACTCGAAAAATGAAAACAATCTAAAAGGATAAAAATTAATAAACGGAAAAACTGAAGAACTGAATTGAAAATTCGAGAAATCGAAAAGTAAAAATTAAATGTCTAAAAAACGAAGACGGTAAAAATTGAAAAATTGAAATTAGAATCAGAAATTGAAAAATCGAAAAGTAAAATAACTGAGAAATCGAAAAAATCGAAGAATTGAAAAAAGGAAAAGTCGAAAAACCGAGAAATTGGGAAATAGAAACATGGAAATATTGAAAACTGGGAACATCGAGAAATCGTCAAACTGAAAAATCTAAAATTAAAATATCGAAAAATTGAAAAATCCAGAAATAAAAAATTTCCCAAAATTGTGATGAAAACTGAGATCTCGAAGAATTTTTGAAAGTGATAAAAAGAAGTGGAGAAATTGAAAAACGGAAAAATGAAAAATAGAGAAATCAAAATATCGAAAAGACAATTGAAAGTTCAAAAAACTGAAGAATGGAAAAATTGAAAATTCAAAATTAAAAAAAATTAAAAATTCGAATAACCAAAAATTGAAAAGTCTAAACTAATCTAGAACCAAGTGGATTTTTTTGATTTTCTAAAATTTCTCGGAAATTTTCAGAAATTTTTAAACGATTTGACATGATTTTCAAGGACTACAAAATTTTCTAAAATATAAACGACGGTTTTTAGATTTTAGCTTTTTTTTAATGTGAGACGCTAAATTTCAAATAAAGTTTCAAAGAAATGCAAAATTTTACAAAAATTTCAAAAAACCGACAACTCGAAAAATGAAAACAATCTAAAAGGATAAAAATTAATAAACGGAAAAACTGAATAACTGAATTGAAAATTCGAGAAATCGAAAAGTAAAAATTAAATGTCTAAAAAATGAAGACGGTAAAAATTGAAAAATTGAAATTAGAATCAGAAATTGAAAAATTCAAAAGTAAAATAATTGAAATCTAAACTGCAAAAACGAAATGTCGAAATTCGAAAAATCGAAAAATGGAAATTAAAAAAATTCGAAGGTCGAAAAATTA